GATGTTAGAGTTTCCATGTTCCATGACCGTCAAAAGGATCTTGTCCCATGCTTCTTCATGGAAGGTGATCTTGTAGCCTGCAACAACATCGATGGTGTGATGGCAGCCCTCAACATCGTTCACGATCCAGATGAGTGGAGACCGTTCATTGATTCATCGAAGACGAGTCTTAAAGCTGTTTTACTGCATAATGGCAGTGTTTTGCCATCAATTCTAGTTGGTCATGCAGTCCATATGAAGGAAACCTATGACAACATGAAACAACTTTTGAGGTGCATAAACTATGACCAACATCAGTGGCAGCTTTGTGGCGATTTGAAGGTTGTTGCTGTCTTGGTTGGTCTGCAGACTGCATACACAAAGTACTGTTGTTTTCTCTGCGAATGGGATAGTCATGCAAGAGATTCCCACTACATCAAGAAAGATTGGCCACTCCGACAGTCATTGGAGCCTGGGAGGAAAAGTGTTCAGCATCCACCACTTGTTGAATCAATGAAGATTTGGTTACCACCCTTACACATCAAGCTGGGTCTGATGAAGAACTTTGTCAAGGCCATTGACAAAACACAAGCAGCTTTCAAGTACCTCCGTGGAAAATTTCCAAGGTTAAGTGAAGCTAAGATAAAGGAAGGTGTCTTTGTTGGTCCTCAGATTCGTGAACTTCTTCAAGATGATGCATTTGACCATGCACTGCGTGGCAAGGAAAAGACGGCATGGAAAGCCTTCCAGTTAGTGGCAATAAATTTTCTCGGAAACAACAAGGCAGACAACTACAGGTTGTTGGTGGAAAACCTCCTCAAGGCATACAAAAGCCTTGGTTGCAACATGTCACTAAAGATACATTTTTTGCACTCTCATCTAGATTTTTTTCCACTGAACGGCAGAACAGTGAGCGACGAGCACAGCGACCAGGACATTGCAACAATGGAGAAACGCTATCAGGGCAAATGGAGCCCATCAATGCTTGCAGACTATTGCTGGACAGTGACAAAAGATGCTCCATTTAATGAATACAAGAGACAAGCCAAGAAGCGCCGAGTAGACACTGAATAGGACTAAACTATGTACATAATAGTTTTTTGCCTTTTGTTTCATAATAAATTTATATAACCGTTTTGCTGATTTTTAAAGTGTTACATAAACAGGACAGGTGAAATATTATCATGTAAAGCAACCATAAACACATGAAAAGACCTAGCACAGTGTCCACAAAAAACTCCTTATTCCTGTAGCTGTCTGCAAAGAGTTTTCTGAACCAACGCTTCTCCCCCAGATAGTGATGAAATCCAGGGTTCCAGCTGAGATCCAAGGGGCAGCACGAGGCATGGTGTGGGCTTGTGGAGCACTATCACAGTGGTATCACCAGAATAGTACACTGGGATCCAGGGGCAAACACCAAAATCTGGCTCTGCACCAGCTTTTAAAAGGGGGAAGGGGCACCCTGTAAACTTGCAGACAGTGCACACAAGTAAACAGACAGGTCAATAATGGTCAACCTGCAAAGCACTATGGGATTGCCAATGGAAGGATGCAAAAAAAAGTGGTGCACAGCAATTGCATGCACACAAACAAAAGACCAACTAATATAATTTGAAGTGAACCTAGTCCACTGGGCAGGACAACTCCAGAACTCCTGATAGATGAGGATTTAATACACAGTGATTGGTTGCGTCATGCGTACACAAGTGTTTTCAAACTAGATTAACTTGATTTGATCTGGATTAAAACCCCCATGTAGACAAGCCCTTAGTGTTTTACTGCAATGACTGGGCACCCCTATCTATAGATTTTCTTGGTTATTTCCCTTGTGGTCCACAAAGGGAGGAATCTCCTTCAGCAAATTAAAGGAAGGTATTTTCTCATTAATCTCCAGCTCGGAGCAATACCTATGTTCATCTGAGAGAGGTCCCAGACCGACTGAAGAAAGTTTGGACTGAGTGGAGTTGGCTGGTCCACTCATAACTCATTGATTCAAGTACAATTTGTAAATAAAGAAAAAAACAAATAAAGAAACATTAGCTTCTAACACACAGTACCCAGCTTGGTATTCAGTCACACTGTACAACGTCCCATGGAATCAAAGAAAATAGAAGGCCAGCAACAAATTAGTATGTGTGAGGGACTACTCAGTTTAATGCACAGAGTACAGAATGCATGACTGCTTGGTTGGTGACTAAGTGGTGTATGTATACATCTGATGCAATCAGCTCCAGGCTCTCAGAGCTCAAACACAGCATCCTGAGCTAAAGGGAAAGAGCAGAGAGAGAGAAAGAGAATTATTCATCGTGTTTCCCTTTGACCTGTGTGGCTAAATGGAGTCAGGGCCGTGGAGGGCCGTTGCTATTAGGATGAGAAATTGAAAGTATGAGTTAGGTATATTTTTGGTGTAATCTCTTTTATTTACAGAAACAAACAAATGACCCACATTGTCCTCGTTCCGTTAACACAGCAGAAACAAACAGCAGGCAGTTCCCTTACTCAGCAATCTTCAAGTCTTCCACTCCATTGAGTTTTCTGCCCAAGAAGCCCAGTCTCTCTGCTTTAGTCACGGTCACATTCACTGCTACTGTCCTGTCTTTCTGTCCCTCCAACAGACACAGCTTGCAACTGATACGGTTGCCTTGTGTTTCCAACCAGAAAAACCCCTCAGTCCCGACACAGTTTAGCTCTGCCTTGCCATGCTGCCTAGTGCCTCAGGTGGCCTCCTCACAGCCCTAGCTGCTTTACTTCATAAAGAGTTGACCCTGAAAGAGAGTGATTGGTACAGCCATTGACTTTTTGAGGTCTGGAATTGTTTTTGGATCAGAGAACCCTCTGCTGGCAGCCATTAGTACATCAAGACATTATTGAGCTACCTACAAACTGCCTGCTCCACTCCTCCTGCTGAGAAAGCCGATCTCTAAGATGGAAGTTATTTCAGTGGCTGTTACAGGTTTTAATGTATTAAAAAGTAATTTCCTACAACAACAAAATTCCCCATGCATTCCTCTATGTGGCATATAAACACTAGGACTGTTTTAAAATATTTTAAACATGAAAATCTCTCTGACACTATAAAAAGTTAGTAAGTGAGTTTGTTTAATACCATTTCCTATTTGAAAAGATCAAATTTAAAATGGAATTATACAAGATAACTGAACCATGAAATGTTTAATTTGCAGGAATGAAGGCTTCGCACCAAGTTCCTATCTGAAAGAGATCTCCCTGGATGATGATGAACCTGGGTAAATCAACATCCGGCCACTCAGTGCTTAAATTTTCACCCCACCATTTTAGGAAAGACCAGGCCACATTTCCAGAATGTTTCACTAGTTTATGATCTATTCTATGGCTTTCTGAATACCTTGCATAAAGTGTTGTGAAAGATATCAGATAGACTATATCTTCATCTCCTTGTTGTATATATATTTAATGCAAAAAAATTATGGGTGAAATACCGGCCCCACTGACATCAATGGAAGTTTTGCCATTGACTTCAATAGGGCCAGGATTTCACCCTATGTATTCTTGCTTTACTATTAAGGCCCCAACCGTGCAAACATTTACATATGTAAGTAACATTGTGCATGTGAGTAGTCCCATAGAAAGTAATGTGATTTTGTTTAAGTGAAGCCTGTCAGATCAGACCAATTTTTTTTAAGTATCTTTGGCCCTGATCTTGCAAACACTTATGTTGTGCATAAAATTAAGCACTTGCCTGAGTATTTGCAGGGAGCATTTAAGTAATCCCATAGACTGTAAAGAGATTTGTCTGAGTCAATGGTGCTGGATCAGGCCTACAACTTTTTTTTTAAATGTAATCATACAATTTCCTATAATTTCCTGAATGCTGTAGAATGCAGTAAAAATCAGAATCCTAAATTGTTGGTTTGTTGTTGGGGTTAGGAAGTGGAGGGGGGAAGATATTTATTTTGTTGTAACTTGTTTTGGCATGTGCTGTTTTAATTCTGTCCCTGATGTTAAGAACATTTATTGGAGGATTTTGAGCTTTTGTGGTTTTGGAGGATTTCTGTGTAAGCTTCAATGAGGCAATTACAATCTCCTCATAACAACTGCAGCAGAGAGGTTCAGCCCATCTGCCTAGCAGGACAGGCAGAGAGAGTGTTTAACTCTCCAAGCTCACTAGGTATTATCACAAAGGGGAGGAGCCACGTTAAGCTCGCCTCAGAAGTCTTAGTGAATGCCCTCTGAGCAGGCTCCTGATTTTTCAATTGATAATTTTTAAAACTCAAGTTAAAATTTCCTTGCACAGCTAGCCAAGGCATCACTACTTATAAAGGACTTTCTACCTGCAACATGTTCATTTGCAACATTCAGCTGCAGCTCTAAAACTGAGGTTAGAGTATTTTACCATGGGAAAGTGTGTATTTTTTTCACCCTCACCAAACCAAAAAAGAAATGGAAAGAAAATGAAATATATCCTCAAATTTGCCTAAAGGGGGGAAAAATCCAATTTGGCCTGAGCCTAGCATTAGTTCAGTGTGAATATATTTAATATGGGTTTTTACTTGAGGAAGGTCTGTATGTTTACATGATTTCAATGGGGTGTTTCGACTTTGTAGGGGAAACTCCAGCGGAAGTGACCATTCATCAGAAGAAGAGGAGAGCATCACTAAGCATGAGTGAGTATGTGGAGTGTTTTCATGTGTAAACCTTAAGCTCTTTGGGACAAGGACCATCTTTCCATTAGCTGTCTGCACAGTGCCTAGCACAGTGGAGCCCTTATCCTCCTCTCAACCCTTCTGTGATACAAATCATCCTTATTATTAATAATCATCCATAGGCTTCCAATGGAATGAGTCTGTTTTCACCCAACAAAGCAGCGGATGAGGAGGCTTTTAGAAAAGCCTGTCTGATACCCCGATAAAAGGGTGTGCTCACAAAACACTGACACCTGTGATGAGGCTGAGGGGAGTTTCTCTTGAAAACATGTATGAAGTAGCTGTCTCCTTCCTTTGGGAGCTTGCAACTCATTAGCATATTATGTAAGGTAAAGCCTGACCATCACAAAGAGGTTTGAATGTTGCAGGAGTTACACGCAGTTGATGCTTTTCAATTGAAAGTCCCCCCAGGGTGGGGGTTCATGCAGGGCTCTCCATGGCAGAGTTGGCAAAAAAGAAAGTATCCTCACTCTCTGAAGGCCACAGAGCAGGGTGCCCTGCTGGCCTCAAATAGGTCAGGGTGAAGAAGACCAGAGGAGTGAGGTATTTACATGGATTCAGTGACCCGAAGCCCCTGCACAGGGAACGTGGAGAGGCAGCGGCCACACCAGACGCTTAATGTTAATGATCCAAGATTTTATTAAAAACACTGGTAAGGAGCTTTGTGTTTGAAAATGGGCAATTCTTAACATGCTAGTGGCCCCTCAAGGGACAAATCTTCATGGATAGAGGGAGGCCCCCAGCAGGCACAGTTTGCTCACACTTTCCCCACAATAATGCATCTAAATGGGTATTTAGACATCTAAACACATAGGGGTGGGCAGTTATTTCATTCTCTCAAAATGTGGCCCTCAGAGTCCTGTGATCTATTGTTAATAATGTAATTTTATAGGTATTGTCTATGGGGAATAAACATCTGGGAATCTCAGTGTCTAGGAGGCTAATTCAGAAGATATTTATTTATTTTTAGGATATCTTTGTCTGCTTCGCACTATTTCAAGATCACACTTAACTATTACAAATGTATCTTGATCTATATCAGGGAGGAAGGATGGTCCAGTGGTTAGGGAACTAGCCTAGGACACTCATGTGTAACTTTGTGCAAGTCATTTAGTCTCTCCGTGCCTCAGTTTCCCATCTGAGGCACTGCTCTGCCTCACAGAGGTGTTGCAAGGATAAATGCATTAAAGACTGTGAGGCGCTCAGTTACTACTACTACTGGGGGCTATGTAAGATAGATACTTTGGCTTAAAAGCAGATTTGAAAATGAGGCATCTTGTAAGGGTTTTTCCATCAGTCTACTTTGCCAAACTGTTATTCGGAAATCATGCTGTAAACAATATTTCTTGCTGCAGTTGGTACGCTGGTGATATCTCCAGAGCCCAGTCAGAGCAACTGCTGCGACAGAAGGTACTGGAAATATCTTTATTAACTACGTTTAAACCTCTCTCTAAATCTATTGTTATCATTGCTGCACCTCACCTCTAGAGGGTGCTAATGCTCTTTAAATAACTTTAGTATTACAAGTTTCAGAGTAGCAGCCGTGTTAGTCTGTATCCGCAAAAAGAAGAACAGTCCTCCTGTTCTTCTTTTTTTAGTATTACAGTGAGAGTGGTAGAAACTGAAATAGGTATTAATTTAGTATGAAGATATAGCAGTAATTAGGTTGTGGGTGAATGTAAGGGCCCTAGAGGTGACTAAGTAATGGCACTAATCTAAACTAGGCAAAGGGCAGGCAGAGCCCTCCCCCAAAGCTTTCACTTGTATGGCTTTCACTCCTGACATACAATACTCTAAATTGCTATTTCAAATGTTGGTCTTTTTGGAGCACAGACTGCCAGTCAGAGAACACTGTGGGGGGATTCTATGACATGCACAAACGGAGACGACTGGACAATGGCATTGTCATATTCCTTTCCATCAGAGACATGACATGTCAACGGCTAGTACACTTACCTATTACACCTCCTAGCTCCCGTGACACTCACTCCTTGTGTACTGCCTGTCCCATCGGTGCTTAGCCACTTGCAGCTCATACCATGCTCCACAGAGCCATGGCCCAATTTTCCTTCCCAGCTGCCTGCACTAGAGGTTCAGAAAGGAAGTATAATCCTGGCGAATCACTGTGTATTTCTGGGGGGGCAGGGGGGCAATAGAAGGATTAGTTACCTATGGCCCAATCAGGGGCTGAACAGTCGCAAATCCCATCGATCTGAATGGGACAGGAGGTTGTGCAGCATCTTGCAGCATTGAATCTTAGGCCACAGCTGGACTTGTAAGTGTCTTGTTCCAGCCACACAGCAACCAAATTCCAGCACAAGACTAATGTTGCTCCTACATGTACTGCTAGGAAAGTCCTAATGGAGACCAGAATCTCAGCACCTACCTGGGAAACCACCCTCAAAAGCAGAAACCTATAGTGCAAAGTTGGGGGATGGGGAAGAGGGAAAAAGTAGGATTTAGCTGCTACTCACATTAAAAATAGCCTGAAATTGAATATGTACTGAAAATCTCTCTAGCTGTTTAGTCACCCAGATATACTGAGGCAGTGGAAAACTGATGTGAGTTTAAGGCATTTTGGAAATGCATCAAGGCAAAGTTAGAAAATATTTCTCAAATAGCGGGAGTTTTTTGTGATGTTTTCCTTCCTTTTTATTTATTATTATTAGGGGAAAGAAGGTGCTTTTATGGTTCGAAATTCAAGCCGAGTGGGCAAGTACACTGTGTCTGTATTCAGCAAGGCTCTTGAGTGAGTATTCCAAGGACAGGTTGTATGAGAGATTAATGTAATGGCTGGAAGGAGAGGGAAACTGAAGAGAGAGAGAAATGGGGAAGGGGAGAAGAGAACAAGCTTGGGAGAGGCAGGAAAAAGGAAGGAGTGGTTAGAAATGGCACTGTAAACATTCAGAAAAATTGCCTTAGTGCATCAAACCACTGGTCCTTCTAGTCAAATGTTCTCAGAGGTGTCCAGTACCAGATGCGTCAGACGAAGATATCATACCCTGATTCCCCACCACTGTTGTTTGATTAAATAACATTTAGACACAATATATCCTGCATCTTGGCAGGGGGTTAGACTAGATGACCCTAAGCCTATGGTTCTATGATTTTCATGGGGAAAGTTTTTTCCTATCCCCAGGCAGTTAGTGTCCTGCAGTGGGACAGCCGATATCCCTTATAAATATGACCAACATTTTGAATACTACATATTGGAAGCTATGGAAATATGGAAAATTTGTAACATGTAATTTTGAAAAGGGACTGCTCAGTGCAACAAAAATAATACTTCACTCACAGGACTGCAAGCTGGGGAACTTGCTGCTTTATTCAACTGCACCACAATAGAGTGAGAACACACAAAACAGAAAGTAAAGGAGGGCTGGAGCATCACTCAAGCCCATAATATTCTGGGTGGCCCAATTAACTTTATCATGACCACTTTACTACAGTAAGTATTTAGATACCACTTATTAAGCAAAGAGTCCCCTTAACTAAATGACAGCTGATAGCAGCAAAGAAAAAATATCATTAAAATTCTAACTGGTGCATCATGAGTCTGGTGACTACCTGTCTAATTAACTAAATAAGGCTTGGACTTTATTGAGTCCATTTAACAAGGCTCTTACATAAAGAATACTTTGTGCTATTTTTCAGAGATAAAAAAGGAACGGTCAAACATTACCACGTGCACACAAACTATGAAAACAAATATTATCTGGCTGAAAATTACTGTTTTGATTCAGTTCCCCAGCTTATTCACTATCATCAGCATAACTCAGCAGGTAAATCACTTCTGTCTCTCCTTGCCCCTTCTGCTGAACCTGAATGTGTTTTTCTCCTATCATAGATAGATTTAGAGAGACTCAGGTTGTTGGGTTTCTAGTATTTATGGTGAATCTCTTGCCATACGGAATGGTCTAAATAACTAAGAATAGATTTATCCCCCTTTTAGGTGTCGATCTTGAGAATTTGTTCATGGGGGGTTGTTAGTTGCCTAGAATTTTTATTATTATTATTTAAGAGAGCTGCATGTACTGTGATCTTTAACTGACTTTCTTTGTAGGTATGATTACAAGGCTTCGGCATGCTGTGACTACGAAAGCAAATAAGGTCCCATCAACAGCATCCTTAGGAAATGGTATGGAGATGATTTTCCCTTTTAAAACTAGTGTCACTGTTTGCCATCTGTCACAGCGCTGGTTGAGCTCCCCCTGCTGGACACTCACCAGACTGCTTTGAGGGGATCCAAATACTGAATCCTCAAATCCTCTAAGCCTCTAGACTAGTGGTACTCAACCTACGGCTACGGGCCACTTGCAGCCCAATCAGCACACAGCTGCGGCCCATGTGACATCCTCAGGGCCATACAGGTAGTATATATATTGTGTGAATGTGGCCCATATGACACACAGAGAGCTGCATATGTGGCCCACAATGGTAAATAGGTTGAGAACCACTGCTCTAGAGTCTAAATAGAGTCCAGGGACTGCTCCTGGCTTGGGGGCTCTAGGAATACTCTTGGGATGAAGATCCTCTGTTTAGCACTCGCTTCTGAGAGCTGAGACCTTGTGGTCCAACTACCTAGCCTCTGCAACCAGGAGTGGCCCTCACAATTCCTCACCACAGCTTATGCACAGCGCTTCTCAGAACTCCAGTCTTGTGGGCACTGTGGGTAAACAGGTTAACCCCTCAGGGACATGTGGTAGGTGTCGTACGTAACTCATACAGACAGATTTTGCACAAGATTCTAAACCACCACTGCTCTTTACTTCAGAGAGGAAGTACAAGAGGGAACAGATCATTTAGAAAGCACTGAACATCCTGAATGCAGTGCCCCATTAACTCACCTCTCCCTTGGGGTCCATCAGAATTTAGGTGGCCAGGGGTCCCCACTTCCCCATCAGGCTCCTGCAGCAGCGTCCCTCTGCGTGAGCTGGTGAAAATGGCCGAAGACCCCCAGGAGAACTGCTCCTGCCCTTTTATAAACTTCCATTCCTTCTGTCCTGTGACTCCTGGATCAGCCTTCACAGATGATCCCAGATCCATACCAGATAACTTTGTGGCCAGGTTATCTCTCCCCTGACAGACTAGATTTTCTGGGTGGGAACCTGCCTATTGCCTAGGGCACTTGTATTTGAATAGAGGACCACCTAGATTTCACAACCCTCTATTGCCAGTCCTGTGTCACCCCCCATGGAATTTCTGTCCAAGATGACGTAAAAGGACAACAGAGAAGACAAAAGGCTGCACATTCCAAATAGAGTTTGATAAAGACACACAGAGAGAGTTCATAAACTCACCCAGAATTCCTTAGGTTGTACAGATGGATCCCACACATCGTCACACCAACAAGGTATAATTTGTCAGTAAAAATAAACCATTAGGATTTTCCTTACTTCCAATCTTGACCATATAGAAGGCTGCAGAAGCTTTAAACTCTCTGGTTGGCAGCCACCTAGATTTATCTCTGTATCGGAGGTAATGCAGAACCACCCTGCCACACACAGAGTTTAGAGAGGGATTGTTCTTTGATGATCAGTCTCTCCCCTAGCTCCCTTGTATGGGGAGTGCACAGGTGCATTATTCTTAAAGCTAGTGCAGTCACCACCCACCAGCGCATGCAGCCTATTCCCAAGACTGCTGTGTGTGTGGATGTTGGAAGGCTGTGGGAACACATTCCCCAACTCCCTCTGGGGTCAAGTGACTGGCTCTTTGTGCACTTCCTCCATCTGCATGCCCATGCCACGGCCATCTCAGTCTGGCCCTTTCTTATTCTGTTCTAGCACATTATGTGGTGGGATTGCATTTGTTTGCAAAGCCAACTGAAAAACAGCCTGGCGATATTTCTATTGTTTGACCCAAAAGTCCTTCATAAGTCACACAAACTTTGTCTGGTTCTGCGAACGAACATACCTCAGCTGTGGTATCGAATGGCACTCTGGGGTTGTGCTACATTTCTGCTGCCACTCACATACGAAACCTATAGACTTCACATGGCACACTTTCATGCACTGCAAAAGAAAACAAATGGACACCTTTAGGACCCGGGAACTGCATATGTCAGGCTGGTAGCTAAAAGGGATTGCTTCTGTCTCTCTAGGGATCTGGGAGCTGAAACGAGAGGAAATCGTCCTGCTCAAGGAATTAGGAAGTGGCCAGTTTGGAGTGGTACAGCTGGGAAAATGGAAGGGAAAGTATGATGTTGCCATTAAGATGATTAAAGAAGGATCAATGTCAGAAGATGAATTCATAGAGGAAGCTCACACCATGATGTAAGCTGCACTTTGCTTAATGAAATAACATTGCAAATAGGGCTGTTCCACAAGTCATCTCACTACTATAGAATAGTCACTGAAAAAGAAGTTCCTCTTCAGAATAAAACCGTGAGTACCACAGGCAGCTTTAGGCATAGGCTGAGTATGTGGCCACCTAGGGCATCACATTTAAAGAAGCATCAACAGAATAGTGGAGAGATTGCTGGGGTTACCAGTAACCAGTATTATACTGCTCTTCAGCTTCACTGACCGCTGAGCTTCTGCACGTGTGATTTAAACATGTACTTTATTATTGAAACACCTCCTTCAACAGGCATGGATGGAATTATCTATTTCTGTCATCAGAAGCAGGTAGGAATGACATACGCATGAGTAGATGGGACGTATTAGACAGATGAATGCATCTGCAGTATATTTCACCTTGGCAATGGTGAGGTAACCACCCCAATCTCCACAGTGAGATACCAATTTGCAAGTAGTTTTCTTCAGGGCCATTTTAGGTATGTCACAACATAAGGAAATTAGAAATTAATGGAGATATCCCATCTCCTAGAACTGGAAGGGACCTTGAAAGGTCATCAAGTCCAGCCCCCTGCCTTCACTAGCAGGACCAAGTACTGATTTTGCCCCAGAGCCCCAAGTTGCCCCCTCAAGGATTGAACTCACAACCCTGGGTTTAGCAGGCTAATGTTCAAACCACTGAGCTATCCCTCCCCTGCGCTGTGCTCCTGTCAGTTGGCTACCTGAAATGGTTATAATAGCGGATTCTACTTTGCTACATTCTCTTAGTAGGAACATAGCCACCTCTTGAATGCCTTCTCGTGGCCTGGGGTGGCTCTGTCGTGCCCTGCCTCAGTTTCCCCTCTTGGACTCCTCAAGAAATCAAAAAAGGCTTCTCTTTGTTCAATGGTACCCCTCCGTGGAGTCTGGTTTTACTAGCAAAAAGTTCAAAATGAGGTTTCCCCAGACTTAAGCTGGGGACAACCCATCCTCCCTGAGGTACTGTCTCAAAACTCCCCTAGTGTCCCAGGCCACTCCCAGCCCTTCCAAGCTGGAGCAACTCCCCTGATTGCATGAGCTTCCCTGCAGGAACCTTTCTCACACTCTGCCACAGCTTTCCCTTCTTGTTTTCTTCCTTCCTCCAGCTCTTTATAGAGATCAGCTGTCCTTTATCTGGCCCATTTTGAGAGGCTGTTAATAAGACACAGGTGGGTTGGACTAGTTCCCTCTTAAAGGGCCCAGTCCATTCTGTGACATGAAATCCTTAAATCTCAGGTGCCAATACACTAACTCAGCTTTCTTCACGTGTGCCAGCGGGTCTCAGAAGTCTGCACTACTGGTCCTAAAAAAGTCAGTTTCACCATTAGTGATTATTTGTGCAATTGTTTCATGCTAGCATGGAGAAAGAAATTAACCTCTGCTTGAAAGGGAAATTTTTAAGGCTGAGATTTCATTGATCAAACCCAAACTTGTGACAGGATTTACTAACTAGGCTAGAACTCTTATTAATTTATTATTTATTTGTATGGCTCCAAAAGTTCCTTTACAAATGTCAAGGTAATGATAAGGAATAAAAGCTCACAAAATAGAGTAACATATTTATGTCTTAATATTTTGTTTCAGGAAACTTACTCATCCCAAACTTGTTAAGCTCTATGGAGTTTGCACAAAGACATATCCCATCTATATAGTGGCAGAATATATGGCTAATGGCTGCTTGCTTAACTACTTGAGGAATCACGGGAAGGAACTGCAACCCTTTCAGCTGCTGGAAATATGTTATGACATTTGTGAAGCGATGACTTTCTTAGAGAGCCAGCAGTTCATTCATCGAGACTTGGTAAGCTCTAACCACGTAGGATATGAAGGAGGAGGAGAGTTAGGACCTGATCCTACGTTCTGTTACTCCTATTTTATACCAGTGTAACTCACACTGGCATAAAACAAAGGTAACAGTGTGGACATGTAGGCCACTGGAGTAGGTTCAGTTTAGTGGTGTTTTGTTACTATTATAAGAAGAGCTGCCGTGTCAAGAACTTGAACCTTTCAGATTTTGTTGTAATCAGCCAGTATTTTACCCACTTGGGTCTTGTTCCTTCTATTATGCACCCTGGTTTTATAGTGATCTAGCTCTACTTTACACTAGTGAAACTGAGAGCAGAATCAGGACCTTAGTATCTAGGCCCACAGTTTGTGCAGGAGCATGTGTTCAAGAACACTGGCAGACAGGTTTGGGTTGGAGCAGATTGGTTATTGTGTGAGATCACTGAAAGAGAACTATCCCTAGCTCCTGGAGACTCATGTTCCAGACTCAGTCTTGACATTCTGTGTTCTAACTGTAGCCATTGGAAAATGCATGAGACTCTACACTATGGAAAGAGCTACATTTTCAAAGAGGCCTCAGCCCAACATCTCCAGCTTCAACCAGCATTTTAAATATTCGTTTTAGTGTTTGCAATTATTTATTTGTGTACACAAATCGAGTAACTGGACATGTAACTAACCAATTTGCACATTCAAATCAGAAATCAGAAATCCAGGATGCTGAGCAGTTTATCTGTACAAAATTCAAGTTATAAATAGAAAGGCAATTTCTGAAAATTTGCTACTGACTGTTACAAACCATAGAGAGTCAAGAATAAAAACCGAACTTGGCTTTAGGAGGTGAACCATATCCCTGGGATTAACAACCCTCGGGGCAGAGATGATCGCCTTAGGTAAATGCTCACATAAATAAGTCTGTGCAGATCGGGGCTCTTACTGGCCTATTCATTGCCCATATTGCTTAAATTATCTCTCAATAATCCATTCTCCTTATAATGCATAGTAAATAACCAAGTCAGCATTCTCCTATCATACATATGTTGTTCCTTTTTTTGATGTACTAGCAACTTTTGATGTGGTGTTACCTAGTGGCTAGAACACTGGTCTGGGACCCAGGAGACTTGCGTTCAATTCTTGGCTCTGCCATTGGTTTGCTGGGTGACCGACCCTCCCTGTGCCTCAGTTTCCCCATCTGTAGAATGGGGATAATGATACTGATTTCCTTTGTAAAGCACTTTGAGACCTATGGATGACAAGTGCTATCAAAGAGCTAGGTATTATTATTGTTACAAACCAAAAATAGTGCATCATTTATTTAATCAAAGAACTTCATGAATATAAGTGATCAGGGCGTAGGCAGTGTGACCTAGTAGTCATATTTAGGCCGTGGTCTGCATGTGAGGCACAGTGGTCACTGAGCAGGAGTTGCATGAATCACAAGAGCCAGGTTCAGTAAGCAAGAGTTGGGGTCAAAGTCAGACCGGGGTCAGAGAGCGGAAGTCAGAGATAGCACCAGGCTGGAATTAGGAGGCAGGAATCAGGGTCAGAGTCAGGCTGGGATAAGAGATCAGGAGACAAGGCAAAGGCTGTGTGGTTGTCCAGACAACTTCCTGGGGCAACCCCTGAGGCTAAGTAGGGGCACTTGGCAAATCAGAGGGCAGCAGGTACTTGGGTGGTACTTCCTGCAGCACCTACTCTCTACCGTTCCCCCTAACTGTAGCTGTCCCAGGCGCTACAGTCCCAGGTTCTAGCCCAAGGACCCTTACAAAGGAATTCTGAAGGACAGAAATACTATTTGAAAATAACCAAACTCTTATTTCACTTGGATTTTGGTCACTCACTCTGTTTTCTTGTTTTCCCACTAAAGGCTGCTAGGAACTGCTTGGTTGATAGTGATCTTACTGTGAAGGTGTCTGACTTCGGGATGGCTAGGTAAGCTACAGACTGACTCTTCAACCACTGTAGTGCAATAATGTCAATCCTGAATGGGTTATTGGTGTTAGTCAGCCAGTGCTGCCATGAAACCAACAGTGAATGAACTGGTTATTAGTAAAGTTAAACCACAGGGGCTCTCTAGTTCTCTTTAGTCCAATTGAGTTAATGATTGTAACCCATTCTGGGGCTTTCAATGAGAAGAGAAATAGAAGGTGCAGACTCCTGGCATCTCTAAAGGTTAGAGGGCAAATGTATGCACATCACTGTTTCATGCTTGTCAAAGAAATCTCAACAATGTTCTCTGTGTGCAAGAGAGTTTTTATAATGCCCCCTGTGTGAGAGATTCACATGATTTTGGGTTTCTGCTCCCTCTAGCAATGACATGATAAGGAGTCCCTTGATAACTTGATTGCAGCAGCATACCTCAGTAGCTTGAGGTTAGAGTTTCTATCGGGTCACCTCTGGAGACCTGGGTTTCTGGCCAGGCTTTGTTCACAGGCTTGTTGGAGAGTTCTTGTGGGGCATTCCAGGCAGAAGCAGTAAGCAATGTTTCACTAGCTATTTGTCATAGCCTGAAGACTGGCTCTTCCCTTGCAGGTATGTTCTGGATGACCTGTATATAAGTTCATTAGGAACTAAGTTTCCAGTGAAGTGGTCGGCACCAGAAGTTTTTCATTATACCAAGTTTAGCAGCAAGTCGGATGTATGGGCCTTTGGTAAGTATGGGATTTGACCTTTCATATTGGAGATGCTTAATAAGCTCAAAAATGCAAACTTGACTGCATATTTGAAAAGCCAAAAAATGACAGACTTTAACAACTACTGTGCAAAAGTCTAAGATAGGTATTTACTACGTATAGCGTGTATATTCTGCTTAATAATGCCATGCAATAACAATAGACCAAACTGCTGTAATCTTAATGGCATCTTTGTGGGTGCACAGACTAGAATTTGGCCCACTACCCATATGTTGTGCAATATGCGTGTAGTGGAATGCCCGGGGTGGGTCACTGGAGCAGAGACCGAACTGGAGCCCTCTGGCTCTAAACGCACCAGCCTCTAGTGCCTGAGCTAAAAGACCTGTTCAGTTAGTTCAAAGGTTGTAGCAGATTCATAAATCTCAAGCCTAACCTCTAGCGTGGGAGAGCACTTGATACTGTGTAATCATGGGATACATGTGCCATGCTAGCTTCTTGCCAGAACTTAGACCATGATGCAAACCTGTTTCCAGCCACGAGAGCTCAAACAGCTGATCTTCTCGTGGCAACCTGGCACTGAGCTGTGGTGAACAAGGTAGAAGAAAGGTTTTCCAAATTCTTCTTCCGCTCAGCTTTGTCTCCAGCTAGTCACCCTATCCCATTAAAAGAAAGACTGTAATACTGAAAATGTTTTGCTTGAGCCCTACACTACTATGTTATCCAGTATACAGAGGGCATTGTAATTTCTTTTTATAAATTATAGTTTTTCCTGTTTGCTTTTACATTGTGGGCAAAATCCTGGCTCTATTGAAGTCTTGTGACAATTTTGATGTTGACTTTAGTGGGGACAGTATTTCGCCCTAGAAATACAGGGCCTGATTCTCTTCTCTTTCATAGCAGTTTTACAGTGATCCATTGCCCCACTGTAAGCAAGTGGAGAATTAGGCCCATCATTTCTTGATTGCGCCACTGCCCTGGGGGCCTCCGGGACACTGATGCTCTGGGAGGGTGTTTGTGGGGGGCAATGGCTGGCCCCTGCTCTGGTGGCAGGGGCTGACTGCCCCCCGCTGCTCCAAGGCCTGGAAACACTGCTCCTCCATGACCACTGCTGCTCTGGCACCCCAGGGCCAGCTGCCTGGACCTCCTCCAGCAGCAGCCAGTGTGGCTGGCCTCAGGGTCTGCTCCAGCAGCGGCTTGTGCGGCTGGCCCTGGGGCCACCCCAGCAGCTGGCTCCGGGGTCAGCTGCTCAGGCAGCCCTGGGGCCTGCCAGCCCGGCAGCTGCAGCTGCAGAAGTCACAGAAAGTCACGGAATCCATGACGTCCATGATCGCTGTGACAGACTCGCAGCCTTATATATAATCACTGTAAGTCCTTTGGGGATCTTATTTAAGTCTTCTAACACTAAAGGACTAAATGTCCCAGTCCCATAAAAACATCTGTTAAATCACATGAGAAAATCATCTACAAAATGCCCTTAGTACTTATTCTATATTATTTTGTAAAGTTGACAAAGGACAATTCTTAAATTGCCATGTCTTGGGCATTATCACTGAACAACCCCATCAAACATTTGTATCATTCAACTTCACCTTCCACTGCAACAGTTTGTTGTTTGCAATTGAGTACAGCATCACTAACACTAATACTGTTAATCATACCCTGGTTACAAATCAGCCCCATACATTTGCTAGAAAAATATTTTTTGCTAGAAGTCTCCTCTGTTATTACCATTTTGTTAGATGAGTATTGCTTAAGTGTCTTGATCTGGAATGGTTTTTCATTAAATTTCTTGTCTTTCAACCCTGGAAATTTCTGCAGGGATCTTAATGTGGGAGGTGTTCACTTTGGGAAAGCAACCCTATGAACTGTATGATAACGTACAAGTGATTGAGAAGGTTTCTGAGGGATATCGGCTTTACCGACCACAACTGGCCTCAGAGACCATCTACCAGTTAATGTACAGCTGCTGGCATGAGGTATGTACATTGGTCCATATGCATTGGAGATGTTATCTACAACAATTGATGGGCTTCATGATGGCCAGCTGAAAAAAAAGCAACACAGGAAACTATTTCTGTTAAAGAACATCAATTGTAGAGAAAAACTAGCTTCCATAAAGCCCTCTACTACAGTAATCCAGAGGAAGGGCCCATAATTAATAAGGGGACAAGTGTGGAAAATTAAGCATGAAGGAGAACTAGCTGATTTTTCTTTTGAGGAAGGTGTACCATTCATTTATGAAGATAACTTTAAAATATGCCTCAAAGTAGATGACAGATTTAGAGTTTGAGTGATTCATCATAATGTCTCTATCCCTGAAATTCTAAACGTAAGAGCACTGTCAAGGTTTGTAGGTCAAACATTGATCATTCTGTATCCATATTTAAGTTTCTCTTAAAGATCAATGCTGCCATGCTGCCTACTGTGACTCTAGTACAAAAAAATTCCAAATGTATTGTTCTTCTTCCCGCCTCTGTTTACCTGTCTTTAAACTGTGATATGTCCCTTCTTGAGTGTCTAGAAACTGCACATTATTGGTGCTACTATAAAATGGTGATTGTTAGTTTTTATATGACTTACACCAAACATGACAAAAATAAGTTCTACTTGAACAAAAATTTTAAAGAGAAAGAAAAAAGAAAGCAATAGCAATAGAAGAAAGATTTATAGCATACAGTGCTTGGAATCATAAATTGCTTTGCCACATAAATGCCATTACCTCTCCATAATTCTGCATGTTTGAGCTAAGAAAAATGAATGTGTTACAATAACTGTTATATTTTCAATGTTAAGTAACCACATACGTTGTTTTTTGTTCTCATATAGCTGCCAGAAAAGCGCCCCACATTTCATCAACTCCTATCAAATATTGAGCCACTCAGAGAAGATGACAAGTCTTGAAGACAAGTCCTCATCATGTGGCTTTGACTATTGGTTGACATATCACCAGTCTACTTTGTGGGAGCTAATACTCTAGTGTGATTTCTGAAATCTGGCTGACTCCAGATTTGGCTGACTCCAGCAGTATTACACTGGTTTTTCATTTTCTTTTAATTTGCAGTGCTTTGACAACACAGAGTAAAGAAGAAAACTCTTGTGATGTTGTGGTGACTTGGTATTGTCTGAAAGAAGAGTGTAGACGTATATTACTGATGCTGTTAGTATGACCCCCCCATAGTACTTCACAAGCAGAGAAATGTCCAGTAATAATGTAAACTCTTTCAAGGTTTGTTGTGGTGGGGTTTTTTTTTCAGATCACAACAGGATTTTATTAATCTTTATTTGGAAAATGTAAATGGCAATATAAGCTTAATAGATTTTCTCATTATCATATCAGATCCCAGGGTATTTTCTGACAGGTTTCAGAGTAGCAGCCGTGTTAGTCTGTATCCGCAAAAAGAAGAACAGGAGTTCTTCTTTTGTTAGTCTCTAAGGTGCCACAAGTACTCCTGTTCTTCTTTTTGAGGGTATTTTCTGTTCTATAAACCTGAGGTTGGTATTATGGGTCAAATTCATACCTGGTGCAAGTGGCTGCAACTCCAGTGGCATTAGTGTTAACTTCAGTGACGTGGATGCTATTGCCAGTAAACAGCATATCAGTTTGGTCACTAGGGCCTGATCCAGTTTCCCTGAGGCCAATGGGAGTCTTTCCATTGACTAGTGCATATTGGATTGGGCCCTAATGACATGGGTTTAATTGATTGTTCATTCTAAACTAGATCTCTGTGACATTTGAAATACAATTATGAGGCTACTGTTGGCAGCGATATGTTCTTATTCCCTATTTAATCCCTGATAATGCAAAACTATCCTTGTCTAGAATTCCATGAGACTTAAACAGACTGGTCTATTGAAACATCAGTATGGGAGCTGCAAGACCAGATACCTGAAGAAGACATCACCATCTGAAATGTTATTAATATAATGGCATGACCAAAAATTTCACACTTGAGTGCTTGAAATTTGACTCCTAAATCCATATTTGGACACTTAACTAGAAGGGCCCTAATTTTCAAAGGTGCTCATCAACTGTAGCTCCCACTGACTTCAATGGCAGCTGGCACTGCTTAGCACCTCTGAACATTTAGCTACTTCTATGCAAGTGCTTAAATATAGATTTAGGAGCCTAACCTTAGGCACCCAGATTTGCAAATTTTGGCTTATTTTCTTCTAAGTACATGTTGAAAAATTGTGAATAGCGTTTGATTCATAGTAATGGTAACAGTAATTGTTTTGGCTCTACAAGGGAAGAGTATATTGAACTTTATGTATTCGACTGCTCCAGTGTTTGTCTTGCCAAGTTTCTGTTATTTTTAAAGGAGTAGAAAGAACATGCATAGCAGAACTGTTTATTTTTAAAAGTCAGGCTGAAATACTAATGCAGAGGATGCTTTGGCACCTGGAGTACAGTGGTAAACAGGCACATTAGAGGAAATTATGTTCACTTACAAAAATTCCTGTCTGACGTATTAGGAACTGGCCAGTAATGTCTGCATAGCATTTCTAACAGGTTTTTCCCCCTTTTCTCCATAATGTCCAATACAGAATGGGAAGTGTAAGGGAAATGTTGCTTAAGATGGATGAAAATAGTTGATTTTAACTGATCTTTCATTATAGGCCTTTCCCTTGTTTTCAGTTATATTTTAGATTGCTTTATAAAATTGCTTGATTAGTTTTGAAGCCTAGTACATCTAAGACACATTCGTGAATGTTTTCCATATGTCCTTGGCCTACGTTTGATGTTGGTCTTTCTCTCGTTAGCATCAAGTTTTATGGATATAAACATAGTAGCCGCTTCTCTCTGAACTTGATCATGTGTGAGGCAGCATTGTTTGTTTGAGTCTGACAAACCAAAGTGGAGTGTTGCAAAGTTGATTTGGCTAATGTCTGTATCAGAATCCGGTGACTTTCTATCATTATGTTGTAAATTCACAGCTAAATGCAAACATCACACATCTCAATGCACAAGGTTACCAGAATTTTGTGGTGAGCGACTGTTCCTGAACCCATATGTAATGAGACTTCCTACATCTAGATGAGACATTTGGGACTTTAAATCTAAAGTGAATACATTTGTCTTAACTGCAATTTATGAATAGATTCTGAGACTGTGTTATTTTTAGCCCACATCTCTTATTTAGCATTGTCGACTGGATTATTACATGGCATTCTGTGGCATTATAGCATGAAGGGAACACTGCAAGCTTAGTTGTTTTCCTGTTTACATAAAATGTGTTTGTTGGTCCAAGTGAAAAATAAAACAACTTACACAGGAGGTGGGAAGATGCAAAACACACACACAGTTGTCAAAAGGAGAATTCAGACCCTAGCAAAAGTAGATGACAGAGTCCACTATTAAATATTGTGAAAGATGCACAAATTATATGAAATTAATGACTAGTGTGTGTATGCGAGCGTCAGCTGCATTAATGACATCTAACCTGAGGCAGCGTTTTAATTGAGTCATGTACGCTGTTTCACTGAAACATTAATAAAATAGAAAAAATACTCGCTGTTCTATGATTTCATTATTAGAACAAGTCAAAGTCTACTAGATCAGCAGTTCTCAACCAGGTGTCTGGGGGGCCACAAGCAGGTTTCAGGTGGGCCACCAAGCAGGACTGGTATTAGACTCACTGGGGCCTAGGGCAGAAAGCCGAAGCCCTGTCACGCAGGGCTGAAGCTCGGGGACCAGTGTTCCCTCTAATTTTTTACGTCCATGTGCGGAATGAATTTTGTTATGTACACCAATATGAAAGTGATATGTGACACATCACCTTCATATTGGTGCACATAAGAAAATTCATGTGGTGGGGGTGGGGCCAAAGGGTTCGGAGTGAGGGGGAGCTCAAGGCTGGGGAAGAGGGTCTGGGGTGGGGGGGGTGAGGCGCTGGGGTGGGTCTGGGGATGAGGAGTTCAGGGTGCGGGAGGGGGCTCAGGGCTGGGCAGAGGGTTGGGTGCAGGGGTGAGGGCTCTGGCTAGGGGTGAAGGTTCTGGGGTGGGGATGAGAGGTTCAGGGTGCGGGAGGAAGCTCAGGGCTGGGGCAGAAGATTGGAGAGCAGGGGGGTGCGGGCTTGGGATGAGGGGTTTGGGGTGCAGAAGGGGGCTCAGGGCTGGGGCAGAGTGTTAGGGTGCGGGCTCTGGGGTTGGGCCAGGGATGAGGGGTCTGGGGTGCAGTCTGCCCAGGGGCTACAGTGGGGAGAGAGGACTCCCCTCAGCCCTCTGTCACCTTAACAGCTCGGGGCTGGAGGAGAGGCGCATCTCCCTGGCTGTGGCAGCTCCAGTGAGGCTGGGCCAAGGGAGGGGCTCCTCTTCCCCAGCTGCAGCAAGTCAGGGGCAGGCAACTCTGCACTGGGGCCAGCTGGGGGAGGGGGAGTACCTCTCTCCCAGCCACGGCAGCTCCACACTGGGGCCAGCGCCAAGGGAGGGCACAGGGCTTAATAGGCAGCTACGCGGCCATGCAACGTAGAGGGAACTTAGCCAGGGACCCACACCCTGCCACCCCGGAGTGAACCTGAAGCCTGAGCAACTTAGCTTTACGGTGCCCCCTGTGGTATGGGGCCCCAGGCAATTACCGGGCTTGCTACCCCCTAATGCCAGCCCTGGCTTTCATATGCAGAAAACCAGTTTTGTGGCACAGGTGGGTTATGACGTTTTTATAGCATGTTGGGGGGGAGGGTGCCCAGAAAGAAAAAAGTTGTGAACACCTGTACTAGATTACAGGCCAAATCCTGGTCCACATCAATGGAAAATTCCCATTAACTTATATGGAACTGAGGCAGGAAACAGCCACTTTAAGCACATCTCTGCTCTCTCCTAAATTTGGCTTGATTTTCTTACAGAGCTGCAAAAAGATACATCACACCACCATCCATTTAATATCATCCTGGTAGGACATAGGGTTGCCAACTTTCTAATTGCACAAAACCGAACACTCTTGCCCTGCCCCTACCCTGCCCCTTCCCTGAGGCCCCACCCCCACTCACTCCATCCCCCCTCCTTCCATTTCACGCCCTCCTCCACCCTCACTCACTTTCACTGGGCTCGGGGTTGGGGCGCAGGCTTACCTCGGGCAGCTCCCGACCAATGTTGCAGTGGGGGCGCTAAGGCAGTCTGGTTAAGAAATATGGTTAAGTTGAAGTTTGTATCTAAACAGTAAGGTCTCAGTCCTGCAAATTTGAGCAAATCCTTAAATTTCAGGACATGAATAGTCTCATTGATAATCATCATAATAGAAAGAGTGTCTCATGAAACATCACTCCTCTCATCCATAGTCACATGGCCCAACTCCCATCCTATTTATGGTCACGTCATCACTATGGAAATTACAGCCATTTCTTACATAGAAAAATAAGATTGTTAGGAAATAAATTAATGTATTTGTATTAGGGCTGGCAATTAATTGCCGTTAACTCATGCAATTAACTCAAACAAATTAATCGCGATTAATCACAGTTTTAATTGCACTATAAAACAATAGAATAGCAATTTAAATTTATTAAATAGTTTTGGATGTTTTTCTACATTTTCAAATATATTGATTTCTGTTACACCACAGAATACTCACTTTATATTTATTTTTTATTATAAATATTTGCACTGTAAAAACGATAAACAAAAGAAATAGTATTTTTCAATTCACATCATAGAAGTACTGAAGTGAAATCTCTTTATTGTGAAAGTTCAACTTACAAATATAGATTTTTTTGTTACATTACTGCATTAAAAAACAAAACAATGTGAAAATTTAAAGCCTATAAGTCCACTCAGTTCTACTTCTTGTTCAGCCAATCGCTAAGAGAAATAAGTTTGTTTACATTTATGGGAGATAATGCTGCCCGCTTCTTATTTACAATGTCACCAGAAAGCGAGAACAGGCATTTGCATGGCACTTTTGTAGCTGACATTGCAAGGTATTTATGTGCCAGATATGCTAAACATTCGTATTCCTCTTCATGTTTCAGCCACCGTTCCAGAGGACATGCTGATGACACTTGTTAAAAAAATAATGCATTAATTAAATTTATGACTGAACTCCTTGGGGGAGAATTGTATGTTTCCTGCTGTTTTACACGCATTCTGCCATATATTTCATGTTATAGCAGTCTCGGATGATGACCCAGCCCATGTTGTTTGTTTTAAGAACACTTTCATTGCATATTTGACAAAATGCAAAGAAGGTGCCAATGCGAGATTTGTAAAGATAGCTACAGCACTTGACCCAAGGTTTAAGAATCTGAAGCGCCTTCCAAAAGAGGGACAAAGTGTGGAGCATGCTTTCAAGAGTCTTAAAAGCACAACACTCTGATGTGGAAACTACAGAACCCGAACCACCAAAAAGGAAAATCAACCTTCTGCTGGTGGCATTTGACTCAGATAATGAAAATGAACATGCGTCGGTCCGCACTGATTTGGATCGTTATCTAGCAGAACCCATCATCAGCATGGATGCATGTCCTCTGGAATGGTGGTTGAAGCATAAAGGAACATATGAATTTTTAGCATATCTGGCACGTAAATATCTTGTGACGTCGGCTATAATAGTGCCATACGAACGTCTATTCTCATTTCCAGATGACAAGAAGCAGGCAGCATTATCTCCTGCAAATGTAAACAAACTTCTTTGTCTGAGCAATTGGCTGTACAAGAAGTAGGACTGAGTGGACTTTCTAGGCTCTAAAGTTTTACATTGTTTTATTTTTGAAATCAGTTATTTTTTTTGTACATAAATCTACATTTGTAAGTTCAACTTTCATGGCAAAGAGATTGCACTACAGTACTTGTATTAGATGAATTGAAAAATACTATTTGTTTTATTTTTTACAATGCAAATATTTATAATAAAAATAAATATAAAGTGAGCGCTGTACACTTTCTATTCTGTGTTATAATTGAAATAAAAATATTTGAAAATGTAGAAAACACCCAAATATATTTAAATAAATGGTTTTCTATTATTGTTTAACAGCATGATTAATCATGTGATTAATCATGATTGATTTTTTTAATCCACACAACTGATGATTAATTTTTTTAATCATTTGACAGCTCTAAGTTTTATATGGGTTTTTCAGTTAGTTAATGATTATTACAGATTTATTTGTATATGAAATAGGTCAGTGGTTTTCAACCTAAGATTTCCAAAGAGGTCTGCATCTCCATTCAAAACATTTTAGGGGTCCACAAATGAAAAAAGGTTGAAAACCACAGAAATAGATGAATAGCCCATTTTAGGTGGGAATTAAACCACTGGTGGCAGTGGAGAAAGTATGTTTTATTTTCTGTACAATCTGGAGATCTGGAATGGTTCAATGGGAAACATTAATAACCTGAAGAACAGTCTGCTTCCCTTGCCTTATACAAAAATTAAATCACCAGGATGTTCCCAGTTCACCTTCCTCACAACCATAAGTCAGAGAGCTCCTGGGATCTCAATTTTATCCTGTTCTATACTAAGGTCAGAAATATTATTTGAAAAATCCAATAACTAAGTCTTTAAACCATGATTTGAAGACTTCAGTAACTCAACCAGAGGCTAAGGGTCTATTACAGGAGTGGGTTGGTGAGGTTCTGTGCCATGCAATGGGCAGGAGGTAAGACTAGATGATCAGGATGGACCCTTTGATCTTAATGTCTATGAACTATTAAATAAAATAAATAAGGTAAGTCAGAAACCAGGCTATGGACAGCAACTTCCAATACATGCAAATACATGCTGCTTATAAGATTGTGATGACCTAACTGCTACCACTGGTGAGGTGTCCAATAATGGAACCAAATGCTGAAATATTTTAAATTAGAATTCAAGTTCTGTCATTTGATATTAGAGAAGTTTATTCCAAAACACAGTTATTCAATAGGTTTCCTTTTCAGCTGGAAGCATAACCCAAAAAGCTATTTTGGGGGGGACATTCGCTGTTTGGCCTCAACACCATACTTACCAGGCCAACCAACTCGGCAAATTACATATGCCACAACATTTTAACAAAGTTCAAGTTCCAGTTTCTCTTCTTTCAGTTTCTGGTTTGGGTTTAGTATGGAGTCACGTACTTTGAAGGTGCAAAAACTCATGTAATTTCAAACTGCATCCTCCAAAGCTGAGGTTCCTCAGCTGCTCAGTGTGTGTCCACTGACTAATAGGTCTTTTTTCAGCTCACTCTCCTGATAAGTTCTGATTTTCCTTCTTCTTGTTGGACAGCTTCATCGTCATCTGGAGGAAGCACTTTCTTTTTCAGTTCTTCTTATATATCTGCTCATGGTCTAGAAACAGCTAAGTTAAAAACCTTTGGCAATAGAGTATGGAGAAAACACAGAGAAATTGCAAATAGTTGGTTGACGGATAGCAGCATGAGTGGCAGTGTGATATGATAAATATATGTCATGAAAGGGCTACACACAATGTACCTCTTGTGTATTTGTACATCACCGATTGAACACAGAGATGGCAAACAAGTCAT